AATCAATTGCTTTTTCTTGTCTTTATGTTGTTTTTAATTTTCTTTTTCTTGGCAGATGGTTCCTTTAATTCGAAAGAATTGTTCAATCGCTTTTCACCACTGTGGAAAAAATTAAAACTGAAAAAAAAAACTCTAAAAATATTGAAAAATATATTTTACCTTTTGACTGATATTATGCCAGACTTGCCAAAGCCTTGTCCTGGAAAAGAATCACAAAAAAGATAAGTATGAAATTAATAAAAATTATTTATTGAAAAAATAAATAAAAAAATATAAGAAATAAATACCAAATGCTTTTCCCCATTCTTCATCTGTGCCTTTGATTGCATATGCGCTCAAATTTTCATTCTTCAATCGTTTCAGTTCCTTCTTTTGTGCTTTGGCCAATTTTTTTGCACCGGCTTCCAACTCTAGATTGAATGATTGTGCTGCTGGTGCCATTGATTCCCCCATATTCCATTCACTTTCTGCTATCATTGTTTTCTCGATTGCTGATTCATTCACAGTGTCCAATTTCTTTGTTAGTTTCTTAACGCAATCATAAAACTTTGCCAAAATTTGATTAACTGGCATATTAAACTCTTCAGATAACTTATCCAAGGTCTTATTTTGTAGCCCGATTCCAAGAAGAATTGCTTTTTGTAGGGAGTCAATGGGTACATCATTCATTTTTTCGTCAAATACTAATTTACTTAAATCAGTTGTTAAATCCAAAATTAATCGATATTCAACTTGATTTCGAGTGTAAGCTTCCAAGCGTTGAAGATCATGTGGAATAAACATAGTGTCGATTATTTGCTGTGTGAGTGCTATAAAAAAAATGAATAAAAACATATTTTTGATATGGGTTTCATAGGGGATTGAACTTACGTTTATTTGATATTTTAACGGCCTTATTATCAAGTAATGACAAAGCTAATCCAGTGGTGAAGCTTTGAAAACTTTTTGACATCAATTTGATCACACGGCGACGGAAATCATGGTAATACATGGATAACCAATCATCTGATTCAAATTTGTCGGTTTTCAAAATGGAAATCATGATTGTCGAATATTCACCCGTTAAATCGTTTGCTTTTTGACTGAAATTGTATTTTTTTGCAAATCAACAGTTTTTAAATAAATGTTAGAAGAGTTTTCAATCGAGTGTAATCAATATACATATACCTCAAGTAAACCGGCACGAATTTTTGACTCTTCCAGAATTTTAGCAATTCTGATGTCAAACCGTATGAAGTACCAATGTAGTCCAATTTTTCTGGTCGACGTTCCGATAAGCGTTTGAGAAGCGTTGGCACTTTCTTACGAGGTGCAATTTGTTCTTTCAACAAATCACCAACTTCATCATCATCAATTTCCTGAAAACCATCCTCATCGTCTGACAGATCTGTTTCATTCAAAGATGTAAATTTACCAGCATAATAGCTTTTTAGTAGCTTCAAAGCTCGCTTGCCGTATCCCATCTAAAGGAAAACGTATAAATTAAATTAAAGGGAAAAAGACATTTGTTTTGAAAACAAAAAATACAATTCTGAATTTAAAAAAAAAAAATAAAATTACTATGAAGCCATACCCGTTGATAGTTTGGATGGGTGGCAATGCGAACAATTCTTGCTCCAGACAACTTGGGAAATTCCCTATCATTAAATTGCTCTGTCATATTCCAAGGTATCAAATCACCCGCTGCTTTTCGTCCACGTGATAATGAATCGTTTAAACTATCTGACGAGATTTGTCCTTCCAAACAAACTTGGATAACAACTAAAATTTCAGGTAATGCATCTTTCTTCACAATAGGACCCAACAAACAAAAAATATGGTGTGCAGGGGCGTCGCTCATCATTTGCAAATCGTTTGGACTATTTTTATAATGTGACGATACATAAATTGATACCAGACGCTGTAAAAAGGCTTCCGCAGCACGATGATACGAAAATAAAGCATCACGATCAACGTAATATAATTCGCACGCGTCTGGAGTTGGACAGCCCGAGTTTATATTCGGTACATCGGCCTCTAAACATAAAAGCGATGTTAACCATGCCTCAATGGCATCGCCAGGCTTATAACGAATAGATTCTTCAAGTTTAATCTGAAACATCAATGAATATTAATTCTTTTTTCTGGAAATTTATGTTTTTGAACCCAAAAATTGTTGTCTTACCGCTGGTGGAGCATTTTGCTCCTTTTGAATTTGTGACATTAATTTCAAACTCAATGATCGACCTGTTCCCTCATAACCGTTTATTGTCGATGCCATAAAAATTAAATATGGTCCAAGCATTTTTTTAACTAGTGGCAATGGCAAGGCAGCTGCTTCATCAATAACAAGTAAATCAGCTGCATTCAACAAATGTGAATCAGTTGGAGAAATATATTGAATAGTCTGTCGACTATTTCGAGATATATTAACGCGCATAATCGCTTTTTTGAAATCTGGATTTGTAGATCGAATTATCGCATAGTCTGCATGCCTAGGGTTAATCACAAAGAAAAGAATGGAAATGATGGAAATTAATCAATATGTAATGGAACGTAATGGAAGTAATGGAAACATATAATGAAAATCAAATATATATAGTTTAAGATAAAAGTAATCGTCACACATTTGCAACAACATTGCTTTAATTTGAGATTTGGTAGTAGTGTTGTGAATCGCGTTCTGCTGTGGAAGAAAAAGAAAAACAAAATGCTTACTATAGAATAGCACTTGGTGCCAATGCCACTACCTATTTCAATAAAAAAAAAGAATGGAAAGTAAAAAAAATATCATCATTAATATATCAATTGGTCTAAAATGAATGAAACCAAACGACACTTACTCACACAACGTAAATTACTCGTAGACTGAGTAAACTACGGGAGACGGCCGAGGAGAATATTCATTTAATGAGCGGCAGCATTAGCCGCCCGTTGTCGTAAATAGGCAGCACTCCGATTGAAATCACCATTGATATGAATATCTTGTATCATACACAATGATTTGTATATCATGTTGCGTGATGCATTCAGATCACGGTCAAAAACAATAGTTTGCTTGCGTCCATTGTATTGTTGATTCGCGATAGAATGTCCATAATGCTTGAAATTCGGTTCCAATTCAAGGCGATGTTTTGATCGGAATGTATGATGAATTTTGCCTATCCACTCATTTGGTGGTGGGAGAACATGGTTAAGGGCCGGTTCGCAGTTGTTGCAAACTAAGAAACTGAACGATACGATAAAATTAACATTCATGTCATACGACACATTTACTGAATAAAATAAAAATGCAATACAAAAAACAATAAACTTACCGATCCTTTGGATTCATATTCTCCGGTCTTTCGCGGTGCAATGGTAGGTCTGTGATATCATGATCACGACTACAGAGCATCGATGTTCCTGGCTCATGAACTCCCATTATGCGACAATATCGATCAATGGTATATGTTATGAAGGCCTGTGGTGTTCTGCAGTGTCCCTTTATCGGCAAATTTGCACCGATTTTTGCGTCACCCAATGCATACACGATGGTCTGTTGAGCTTTTGGAATTTCTTTTTCGAGTAGGGTCATATCACGGGCCACTTG